GATCGTCGGGAGTAGCAGGTAAGACTCTCGGTGTATCCTTTCTACCGAGTGTTTTTGTGCACGTTTCTTGATGCGCATTCACGTCCTTGATGTGTAGTACGTATTTTCATGATCGCTTTTGTTATCCAATTTTGACCATGTTCGAGTCCAAATTTGGAATTTTGTTGTTAGACGGGAATTGTAGCCCACTGAAATAGCTCTCTAATGCCACCGGAACTAGTCAATTTGGAGTCCGGATGAGAGAGTTATGCTCGACTTCGTGGACACTACCAAAGACGTTGAGGGATTCTCTCTTCTAATTTGATTTTATATAGTGTTTTTGCTGTTGTCTGTTGATGCGAATTAAAGTCATAGTATTGTAGTTCGTGCTTTTAAGAATGTTGTGCCGGATGCACTTTTGCGCATGTTTTTTTACAAGTACGTATTTGTGCATGTTCATTTGAGGGAGCATGTTTGTGCATGTTTGTTGATTTGTATTAATGTCCTAGGATTGTAGTTTGTGTTTTCATGATCCTTTTTGGGAATGCACTTTTGCTTGAGTACTTTTGTGCATGCTTTTGAACTTTTACTCATGTGCGTATCCTTTCTATCGAGTGTTTTTGTGCACGTTTCTTGATGCGCATTCACGTCCTTGAATTGTCGTACGTATTTTCATGATCGCTTTTGTTATCCAATTTTGACCATGTTCGAGTCCGAATTTGGAATTTTGACGTTAGACAGGAATTGTAGCCCACTGAAATAGCTTTCTAATGCCACCGGAACCAGTCGATTTGGAGTCCGTATGAGAGAGTTATGCTCGACTTCGTGGACACTAACAAAGACGTTGAGGGATTCTCTCTTCTAATTTGATTTTATTTTCTTAATTGCAACTCTTTTCTTACCCTTTGATCATTTTTGCTCCTGGACACCTAATTTTTGACATACACCAAAGGTTACCAAATCCACCAATAAAAACAGAAATATAAATTAATCCAAACGGAAATCCACGTATACGTTAACGTCGAGTATTATTGCTACACTCCCTTGTATTTTCTTTATCTAGTGTTTTTGTTGTTGTCTGTTGATGCGTATTAAAGTCATAGTACTGTAGTTCGTGTTTTTAAGAACGTTGTTTCGGATGCACTTTTGCGCATGTTTTTTTACATGTACGTTTTTGTGCATGTCCATTTGAGGGAGCGTGTATGTGCATGTTTGTTTATTTGTATTAATGTCCTAGGATTGTAGTTTGTGTTTTCATGATCATTTTTGGGAATGCACTTTTGCTTGAGTACTTTTGTGCATGCTTTTGAACTTTTACTCATGTGCGTATCTTTTCTAGCGAGTGTTTTTGTGCACGTTTCTTGATGCGCATTCTCATCCTTGAATTGTAGTACGTATTTTCATGATCGCTTTTGTTATCCAATTTTGACCATGTTCGAGTCCGAATTTGGAATTTTGACGTTAGACAGGAATTGTAGCCCACTGAAATAGCTTTCTAATGCCACCGGAACCAGTCGATTTGGAGCCCGGATGAGAGAGTTATGCTCGACTTCGTGGACACTAACAAAGATGTTGTGGGATTCTCTCTTCTAATAAGATTTTATTTTCTTAATTGCAACTCTTTTCTTACCCTTTGATCATTTTTGCTTCCTGGACACCTAATTTTCGATTTGTAACTAAAAGATACCAAATCCACCAATAAAAATAGAAACATAAACTAACCCAAACAATAATCCACGTAAACGTAAACGTCGAGTATTATTGCTACACTCCCTTGGATCTTTTTTATCTAGTGTTTTTGCTGTTGTCTGTTGATGCGTATTAAAGTCATAGTATTGTAGTGCGTGTTTTTAAGAACGTTGTTTCGGATGCACTTTTGCGCATGTTTTATTACATTTTTATGTTTTTGTGCATGTCCATTTGAGAGAGCGTGTTTGTGCGTGTTTGTTGATTTGTATTAATGTCCTAGGATTGTAGTTTGTGTTTTCATGATCCTTTTTGGGAATGCACTTTTGCTTGAGTACTTTTGTGCATGCTTTTGAACTTTTACTCATGTGCGTATCCTTTCTACCGAGTGTTTTTGTGCACGTTTCTTGATGCGCATTCACGTCCTTGATGTGTAGTACGTATTTTCATGATCGCTTTTGTTATCCAATTTTGACCATGTTCGAGTCCAAATTTGGAATTTTGTTGTTAGACGGGAATTGTAGCCCACTGAAATAGCTCTCTAATGCCACCGGAACTAGTCAATTTGGAGTCCGGATGAGAGAGTTATGCTCGACTTCGTGGACACTACCAAAGACGTTGAGGGATTCTCTCTTCTAATTTGATTTTATATAGTGTTTTTGCTGTTGTCTGTTGATGCGAATTAAAGTCATAGTATTGTAGTTCGTGCTTTTAAGAATGTTGTGCCGGATGCACTTTTGCGCATGTTTTTTTACAAGTACGTATTTGTGCATGTTCATTTGAGGGAGCATGTTTGTGCATGTTTGTTGATTTGTATTAATGTCCTAGGATTGTAGTTTGTGTTTTCATGATCCTTTTTGGGAATGCACTTTTGCTTGAGTACTTTTGTGCATGCTTTTGAACTTTTACTCATGTGCGTATCCTTTCTATCGAGTGTTTTTGTGCACGTTTCTTGATGTGCATTCACGTCCTTGAATTGTCGTACGTATTTTCATGATCGCTTTTGTTATCCAATTTTGACCATGTTCGAGTCCGAATTTGGAATTTTGACGTTAGACAGGAATTGTAGCCCACTGAAATAGCTTTCTAATGCCACCGGAACCAGTCAATTTGGAGTCCGGAAGAGAGAGTTATGTTGGTGGTCGTGGACACTACCAAAGACGTTGAGGGATTCTCTGTTCTAATTTAATTTTAATTTCTTAATTGCAACTGTTTCATTACCCTTTGATCATTTTTGATTCATGGACACTTAATTTTAGATTTGTACCTAAAAGATACCAAATCACCCAATAAAAACAGAAATATAAATTAATCCAAAAAAAAATCCATGTAAATGTAAACGCCGAGTATTATGGCTACACTCCATTGTATATTTTTTATTTAGTGTTTTTCGGGTTGTTTGTTGATGTGTATTAAACTCATAGTATGGTAGTTCGTGTTTTTAAGAACGTTGTTTCGGATGCACTTTTGCGCATGTTTTTTTACAAGTACGTTTTTGTGCAAGTCCATTTGAGGGAGCGTGTTTGCGCATGTTTGTTGATTTGTATTAATGTCCTGGGATTGTAGTTCGAGTTTTCATGATCCTTTTTGGGAATGCACTATTGCTTGAGTACTTTTGTGCATGCTTTTGAACTTTTAATCAAGTGCGTATCTTTTAAAGCGAGTGTTTTTGTACACGTTT